CTCTGTCTGGGTTGCCACAGTCTTCGCGTCCTGGCAACTCAGCTGTGATCACAGTGAAGTTGTAATGTTTATTTTAAGACAGAAACAATACTGTCCTTCTGTTAGCTCTCTTGTAATAAATGCTTTCTAAACCCCTTCAAAACCAGTTTATTGCTGTTTTAGGTGGGTGAAGGAGAGAAACTGGTGCGTGCTCTATTTGCAGTAGCCAGAGAACTTCAGCCTTCTATAATTTTTATTGGTAAGACCTTAAATGTTGTTGACTTTTGTGTATTTTCTTAAATATTTTGACTTATTAAATTGGAATCATCACTTAAACTACTCTGGGTACATTGTAGAGCAAGTGTCTCGGATATGGCCTGCTGGCTGATCAGGAGTTCCATACAGAACATGCTAGATCACTGTTATTGAATTGGTGTTAATAGGGGGAACAAATGTCCTCAAAAACACAAATGCTGTATTACCTTGGTGGAGTAAGTCCATTTATGTCTTAAACTTCAAACATGCAAATGGATTTTGCTTGTCCTGAGTTGCAGTTTATTATCAGTAGAACTTTTTTCTCTCATCTATGGTTGGTGTTACATATTCAAAGAACAACATATTATGCAAGCTTCTAAACTTTACTAAGATTTCTCTGTCTCCTAAGGAATAAAAAGATCTGATCTCTTGTTGGAGAGTAAAAGAACTTAGGCAAATATGAAGACTTTCATGTTGGTTGCTTACTTAAGATGTATCTCTTTGTTTTTTAGATGAAGTTGATAGCCTTCTGTGTGAAAGACGAGAAGGTGAACATGATGCTAGCAGGCGTCTAAAAACAGAATTTTTAATAGAATTTGATGGTGTAAGTATTTAGTCTTGAGTATTGTTTGATTTAGCTGAATTGGCCGATGTAGTGAGTGCCAGTACAACCTACAGATGAAGCACAAATAGGATTTGGCTGCTGGGGCTTAGCTCTTAGCAAACGGCTTTTTTCCATTGCTGTTAATTTTTCACCTGCTTGCTGTAGTAGTCTGCAAAATTCAGTCTGGAGTGAAAGGTACTAGTCTGGAGATGAGCTGAAATAATGGGTTGAAGGACTATATGGACAGAGAAGAAAGGACAACAAACAGCGATAATAAAGGAGCTGTGAGAAGACTATGGACAGAGAAGAAAGGACGACAAACAGCGATAATAAAGGAGCTGTGAGAACAAATGTTCTTACAGGGCAAGAGGGACTCTTGAGGGTTAGGCAGAGTTGAACCCTTGTTTGCAATTGCATGTTTTGGTGAAGCATGTCTCTTCATTCTGGTAAAGTGAAAAAAAGATTAAATGGCTTTTAAGTAATGTCTTTTTGGTTTTTAAGGGATATGTGTCACAAAAGCATGCACTGTCAGGGGGTAGGGTGAGACTTGAGGAATGAGAATTTCTAACAGACCAGTTCAGATCATGGGTGTACACAGCTCTGACACATCAGAAGGATTAATTTCTGTGCTAGTATGCTTTTTATTGAGCTATAAATTTTTTCTTGTCATCATGACCTAGAGATGACAGGATACAGTAAGAATATATTTAATAGCATGTATGTAATAACGAGGAAAACTAACTGGGTTTCATCGTTTTGGGGGGAGAGAACAAATGAATATCAGAATATTCTTTTGTCATACAGAAGTGTTTTTGGTATTGAGCAATCTTAGTTTATATTCCACTAGCACCATGGAATATTGCTACAGTGGTGAAGCAATATTAATGAGGTACAGGAGGAGAAGATAGCTATATGGAGAGAAAACAAGATCAAGAAAAACTTCTCCAGACTGGGTTGAATCAGGACAAATAATGCAGTATGACAATGATATGCAGAAATTATTTCACACACAGAGTTTTCTCTTTAAATGAAAAGGTGACAATTAAATATAATTAGTAAGTTAGCAAACTTTGGATCAAGGTGTAGCTGTATCATACAATATTTGTGTGGAACTTTTGGACTCAGTAAGGTAGCAATGAACTTAAGTCTATGAAGGACTGGATGCTAGGTGAATAATAGCACATCTCTCATACCCAAATGTTTTCTCTGAAGTCTGGAGGCTGTAAGTCTCCATATTCTTGGTTGTAAAATCAAGTCTTGCAATTGAGTGAATTTGGGGGAAGGTGACTGTGTCTGTGTACTGCTGAATAGCTTCTCATTTTGATTACTAGCTTCTTGCAAGAATCTGTATTAGATGAATCTCTGATCTGGTTTAGTGGTTCTGGCTGTACCTTAGTCCAAAATTTTGATTCTTTCTCTGTAGGCTTCAAAACAGTGTTTGGTATTAAAACCCACAACAGCAGAAATTCTCTAGCTTTTTAAACATGATTATCTCTGGTTGACTAAACTTCTGTCTGCTTTTTGTACTCTCAGTTTTCTCCAGCATTGTAACGTGCAATTCCACAGCACCATTTGCACTCTTGCAAGGCTCTTTTCAAGCAATATAATTTGAGCATAGTGTCCTGTGTTTACATTCCTTCTTTTTTTTTTTTCTTTTGCTTTTTATTAGTTTGACTTTACATTTATCTAAAGAATATTTTAAAGCCAAGTGCATGGGGAAAAAACCCCATACAGTAAGATCTCGTCAGTGTGCTGAATACATGGCAAGTCTCAAACTGGTTTTGTTGTATTACTGCTTGATGTAAACTGAAAGCTGTCTTGCCTTCCTACATTATATAGGTGCAGTCTTCTGGAGAGGACAGAATACTAGTGATGGGAGCAACAAACAGGCCACAGGAGCTTGATGATGCAGTTCTCAGGTATCAAAATGTATCTTCCTTTGTTTGAAGACAATAATATGATGTTCATTATGAAATGCAGGTTTTGCTACGTAGAGTCTTGACTGTTTTAAACTTTGGAATAAGTATCAAAACCTGCTTGCCAAGGTTAAGTTATTTAACTTCTCAGAGAGGTGCCTGTCTCTTCTCTTTCGGGATACACCTGCACAATCATGAGGGCATTGGAATTGTCTAAACCAGCAGTACTCGTTGAGACCAAGTCAGCATTTTATAAGCCTCTTGATTCTTATATATTGCTTTTTTATTATTTGGATCTTAATGGCAGGATGAAGGAAGACATTTGATCAGTGAAATTCAGTATTTCTCCTTTGCGAATATTGGACTTTGATGTCCCATGTGATTTACAGATCTTGCTGTAGGTTTGCCGTAGGACTTTTTTGCTACGAGTTCTCATTCTTGCTTCTCTTTTCATTCGTGATTGAGGAAAATAGGCTTGTCAGCACTGTCCGAACAAATAAAACACATTTCTAATGATTCCAAAGACTTTTTGTGTACAGTGAAGAGATGCTTCGTTTTGTTGCTGGTAGTCAGTGGTACTTCTGCCTTTAGAGTGTTTCCTCCCTGGGAGGAGTCTCATAACTTCAAATGAGAGCAAGGTGACACCAGTGGCTTGTGCATAGTGTTTGTTTGGTTGTTGGGTGGGGTTCTTTTAAATCTGTAGTCCTACTCCCTAGAATTTGCTGGTGCAAGTGAAATTTTGAGATTTATCAAACCAAATGTTAGATCTGTATGTGCTAAAAAGTTATAAAAGTGTGTGTGTATATATGTTTTTTTCTAGACGATTCACCAAACGGGTATACGTGTCTTTACCAAATGAGGAAGTAAGTACTGTTTTCCATGCGCTTTCTTCATTTTAAGATCAATTTTATTAAAGAAGAGAATAAAATGTATTTCTTAGGCTATCCTTAGCTTGCCCCAGTGGATGATCACAATTCTGTGAATTAACTTCTGGCCCAGCTTGGCCATATACTCGGTACTTTAATTCTGGTGACTATCTGAAGTTTTTACTTTTTTTTTTTTTTTTTCACATGTGCTAGAGGCAAATCTGGTAGTAGCTCCTCGGTATTTCTTAGCTAGTGAGGTGTTGTTTACATACTAGCAGGCATGGACAAGTCTGAAGCCGGGCTTGCAGGAGCACGTTTGGTTGGCTGGAGAAGAGTGTTTATTGCAAAGATGAAAGTAGCTTTCTTAAAGTCATGTTTTTCAGCTCAACAGCAGATTAGGGCTTTTGATGAGGATTCTGATGTGTTACTCCTGAAGTAGTTTGACCCTTGAGCTCCTTATTACCAAGTCTCCGTCCCTTCCCCTGAAGAGACAATAGTGTACAGTCTAATCACAAAAGCACTACAGGCAAGCATAAACTAGGGAAACACAAAAGCTAACCTGATAAACACGTAGTTTTGTTGTTGCAAGAGAATTTTAAGTGTACCGTGAAAATAAGTTTTACATCTGATAAATGTATCTTCTTTTCAGACAAGATTGATTTTGCTAAAAAATCTTCTAAGCAAGCAAGGAAGTCCATTGACCCAAAAAGAGTTGGCACAACTAGCTAGGTAAGTATTTTGTAACTATAGTAAATAAATATACTCATCTACTCATTCAAAATGTAACAAATGTAAATCATCAGATGGTGACAACACGTGCTGAGAATGAATTGCATGCATTTTGGGAAGATGGGTCTCCTGTCAGGCTGTATGAAAGTGGTTTTATATATGCTTTTATATATTTTTATATATATATACACACGTATGTATTTTGTGCTTTTTTCCCACCACACCACCTGTCTGGTTTTCTGTTGTTGAAACATGCTCATCAGTGCTTTTCTTTCTGAGGAGGAGGGAGGGGGGTGTTTCTCTCCACCCGTCCCCCAGGCAGTCCAGCTCTCCTCTCTCATGCAAAAGGCAGTGTCCTGGAATCTAACTGCAAATTTAGGAAACAAATTACAAATGCAACTTAAGTATTAAAAAAAAATACAAAAGTTGAGGGTCCTGCCTGCTTCATCTGCCATCTTTCTTTGTTTTGAAAGAGATAGATATTTAACCTCCTTCAAGATTTGTGTTCCTTTGCTCCTCTGCAACTTTTTCTATAAACTATAACAGAATTCATGATAATTCTTCAGAATTAGCAGAGTTTTGTACTTCCTGGAGTCCACTGGTCAACTGCTGCCATGGCTTTCCATTAAGGGCATACTGTAAAATTACTCCTTGTTTTCAAAACCAACAGTACTGTTAGATTTTTTTTGTAGTGCCTGGTTTTGGCCATTGTTGGTCTCTGATATCAACGAAAAGCGCACATAGTTTTATTCAGAGAACTGGTCGTGTGATCACAGCATAATAAAGATCTGTAGTATTGGGTTCTCATTGTCTTGGTTGGGTTGAAAGAGTACAGGACAGCTGAGTTTTTTTGCTTTATGTTCATCTATGACAATGACAAACTACTGGTAGAGCATTCTTGTAAGAGAAGCAGTAAACATGCTTGAGGTGAGTTTTCATCTACAAATCCAAGTTGGTTGCTATCTTTTTGCTTTTCCTAGCATGTTATTTGGGATTTGAATACCTGTACTGAAATTTAATGTGGAAAGACTTAAATATAGATCACTTACGTTGAATGCACTTCTGATTTATTAAACTTGCAAAACAACATCAAAATAGTACTACTTCTGATTAAGTAACATTTTAATAATCTGCAATTAAAATGAGATGGTTTGAAGCAGGTTTTATGTTTGGTGTTTTCTTTCCTTCCTTTTTTCCCCCACTTTTTCCTTTTACAAAGAATGACAGATGGATACTCTGGAAGTGATTTAACTGCATTAGCAAAGGATGCAGCACTGGGCCCTATTAGAGGTAAGCTGCATAGCTTTTTATTTATGTTTTGAAAAAACTCAGTGCCCTTGATATTAGAGGTATTATTTTTTTTCTACATCTTAATTTCAGAGCTTTAGGAGTTATAAAGTTTTTTAGATTGGATTTTGGTCTGTTCTGCATAACAACATTTTTAGAAGACTTACCTTCCACAAAACTGTTCAGTAGCTCACCATGCAAAACACTTTTTGTGTCTTAGGAGGAAAGCAGGTTGAAGTGTTTTCCACAGATTTGTGGGGTTTTAACTAGTGCCTCTTTCCTGGGCTGGTGTCAGTTCTGTTGTATCTAAATTATGACTTGAGTAGCAGTCTCTGACTGCATTACTTGTCTTTTGTAAAGTGGGCAGATCTTTTTCAAGTCTATGGGAAGGAAATGCTGAAAGAAAAGCAATTTTCTCTTTTATTGTTTTGGTTTTTTTTTTTCCCAGATATGGTTTGAATGGCATAGCTTTTTTATTTTTAAGTCGCCTTAATGTTGAATTGTGATCCAGATGACAAGTGTGACTCAAGTAGAGTTTTCCTTATATATGTTCTTCCTCTGACATTTCCAACTTTGAAAAAACACCATTTTAATGCAAAGTGAAGACTTTTTTCCACCACCCCCCTTGTTCTATTTCACTACCTAGTTGTGATATGTCCAGTAGCCACACCTGAAGGGGCCGATTTTGTTCAGTGGAGATCAGTAGTGGGATTTTGTGAAGAAAAGGTTGTGGATATTTGATGTTAGTTTTCTGTTTGCAGATCTATTGTTCCACCTGACAGAAAGGTACTAAAGGCAGCCAGAGCAGAAGTGCTCTGTAATATCAGCCTATTATTATGTGTAAATAAAAGTTGTTGCAACTCTCTTAAGTGATTTATGGGGAGGAGAGGTCTGTGCATGTTTTGTGGGTGTGTTTGGTTTATTTATTTTTTTCTAAATTGAGTCAAAAATCCTATAGTGTGCAGTTTCCCAGTGCACTATCTCTTGGAAAGCAGCTGCTGGGCAGTAATGCTTTTTTACCCACTTACTTTCAGCTGTTGAGATTTAAGGCACATCTTCCAAAATCCTGCATAATAACTGCAAAACAGAATTGCATAAATAGCTCACACAAGAGACATCCTGTCTCCTAAGACTTTATTTAGAGTGGTTGAATTAATAATGTATGCATTTAGGTATGCAAGCTTTAATTTGCTGACAAATCACTTCACATGCAAGTCCATTTTGAGAAGAGACCATGAAATGTTGTGCAGCCTATTTCTTCCACGTGCTCCTGGCTTCCATATAAAACAGTTTATTTTTTTAAATGTTTTTTAATGTCAGCCTTGCCAATCCTACCTAGATTCTTTTTCTTGCACCCTCAGAGCAAAAGGTTTTCTGTAATATGCTGATACCACAACAGTATTGCAAGTAGAGAAAAAGTAAGTGATGAAGGAGACGGGAATAATTCCATCCCACCAGTGCTGCATGGGGCAAGAAGCTCTCCTATATGCCCTGCCTGATTCAGTTTCTGTGGCTGACAGTACCTTTCTGTTTTCTGAAAATTGTGCACATTTGAGGGGCAGGGGGTTGTAGGTACCAGGAATAATATGGGGGAAGGCAGCTGTGTTACGCTTATGTGCTGTTCCCCGCCCTTGAGGAAGAAGAAAGTAGTTGTGCTGCCACTTGGTACTGTATCTGCAGTGACAGTGTGGGAGCAGCCTGGTTGAGGAGCTCACAAATGGGGAAGGAGGAGGTAAAAACAACTTGTACCTTTCTGTACGGGAGCTTATGTTGAGGCAGAGAGGTGTAATATTTAGCTGTGGGGTTTTTTTCAGAATAAAAGTGTTTTTTATATGCTTTAGTTGTGTGACACGATGAAAGTTTTCTTATGAAATTCACCGATCTCTATTTTTACAGAATTAAAACCAGAACAGGTGAAGAACATGTCTGCCAGTGAGGTATGCTGTTCTAAACTTTTTAAGTTCCCTTTATTTACACATACTATCATACGAGATACCTAGGATAAGTTCGGGGGGGGGGTATTACTCTTTTTGATTACTTCTTAATTGGAGAAAATTCTTTACAAATAGTGACTGAGAAGAAAATCTGTCCTCAGATGTCTGAGGTTCTTTGTAGTTTGTTGGTTATCAGGCTTCGGAGCACCTCTTTTTCCGATAGTTTCTGCTGTTGTTAGTTTCAGCTGACTGTCTTATCTTTCCTTCACGCTGAACTGCAACGCAGTCAACTATCAGGTGATGTCAGAGGCCTGGCTTTTATTTTCTTGCAGTGTCACTGCCCCAAAACATTCCCAGAAGTATTATGTCAAATTATTTATTTTATTTCTATGCCCCCACCCCCGTGTCTTTACGTAAAGCAAGTCATCTTAGCGAGAACCTCTGAGAGATTTTAAACCAGATTTGTTTGTGTATGTCCAGTACCTACATTCATTCACAGGGACTATCATAAAGAAAAAAAAATTAAGTAAGTTCTGTGCCCTCATATGCACCAGCTTGCACCACCTAGTGAAATAGGAAGTAATAACACAATCTCATGGGCTATTAAATAACAAGGCAGACATCATTACCAAGTGTTGGTTTATTAAAAACTGTAAATACTAATAGTCTTAAATTACAAGACTCTTGCATCAGGTCATAGAATCATAAAACAGCCCATGTTGGAAGGGACCTTTGAAAGACCATCTGGTCCAGCCTTTGGTGGGAAAGGGAACCTAGATGAGATTATCTACGCCCTGTCCAGTTGCATCTTGTAAACCTCGAGCAATGGGGACTCTACCACATCCTTGGGGAGGTAGTTCCAGTGAATGACTGTTCTTGCTGTAAGAAGTTTTTCTTGTATCAAGAGGAAGCACTTGTAGAATATGCGCTTTATTGAAAGTGAGTACTGAAGTACTTTAATAAACTGAAGTACATAAACCACTTGTGATCCTGATGTCTTTTGCTTTTTGTTTAGATGAGAAATATCAAACTATCAGATTTCACTGAGTCTTTGAAGAAGATAAAGCGCAGTTTGAGCCCTCAGACCCTGGAAGCATATATTCGCTGGAACAAGGACTTTGGAGATACTACAGTGTGAAATGCTACTTGAAATGAAACAAAGTGCTGCCTAAGGAGCAACTGGTACAGACTACTTGGAAAGCAGATAGAGTTTACAGGACTTTACAGATCTTTAAGTATCTGCATTAAAACTTGAGATTAAGAAAAAATTATACAATGTGAAATGTGTTCATCAAAGCCTCTTTGCCATTTAGTGAGGATTTACACACTGTAAGTAAGAGCACAATAGGACTTGAGATAAGATTCCTAGCAATCCCATTATGGTTTGAACAATAATATATGTATTTTCTTTCAGCTAGAAGGCTCTGATGATATACATCATTGGAAAACCTTTTCCCTATGTTGTGTGTGTGGCGTTTTGTTTTTAATTTTGCCATGACATTGATGTCTGGCTTTCTTCCTTATAACTACTAACTGACAATTGGAAATTTGTAAACTTTGGTTCAGTTTTTGACTTTTTTTATCCTTAATGTGCCAAATAAAGCAATTTCCCTATGCAGAGAGGAAGAGCAGCATTGGGGAATTACGATTATTAAAATGTAAAAAGCAGCTGGTCTGTTATTATTTGTCTTTTTGTTTAGTTGTCATGTGACTGTATTGTTCACAGAACAGTTTTAAAGACCTTTGATAGCAGAACAGCAAAAAACCCCAACCCTATAAAACCAATTCAGACTGTCTTTTAAAAAAATAAATTACTAAATAAAAGACTAAGACATTCATTTACTGGCAGTATTTTCTCTTAACGCATTTTGTAACGCTTCCATTGGTAGAGTGTTAGCTTACGCTTATGGTGTACAACTTGAAGCCCAGCTGATGTTTGAGAGAGTAAGTGATGCTAATTGTCAAGTTTCGGAAATTACGTGTTTCTACTCTGTATTTTGGTCTGTTTATGATAATTGAAAGTAAAATTTCCATTGTGATAATTTTTTTAATCTACACATGTAAGCATTAAAATACAAGGCTACATGTTTAATACATGGCACACATTAATGTTTTTATAGCTTTCATATGTTTTGGTTTATATATTAAAGTATGAAACACTCAACTGATCTGCTTTTTTAGAAAGAAACTGCATCTTTGTACAAATACTTTTTATTATATAAATGACAAGCTATTAAAAAAACCCCCACATAAGTGATAGCCTTTAAATACTGTAATAAAGGAAAACATCTTTGCCTTTACTTCTAAAGGCCTGATATCTTGTTTACAAATTCTACGTTGATTAAACACTAGTTCCTTGTTAGAGCAGGTTTGTAGGGGTTTTTTGTTTTGCTTTTTTTCAAACAGACAGCTCTCTCAACTTAGTGATATAACAAAAATGCATATTGTTTACAGTTTCTTCTTTTAACTAAATGGAGTTATAAGCTTTGTTCATTATTGGTCTTAACAGAAAATTTTGTTGTTATTTTTTCATTTAACTTATTTTTTATTGGTAGGAGTACGTCAGCTATTTCTGGGACTGCTCACCTGAAAATTTATTATAAATATTATATTTTATATGTGTATATATATATATGAAAAAAACTCCTAGCTGATAGATGCAGTGTGAACATAGTAATGCCCAGAGAGGACTCAGTGCTCACTGCGTAGTGCCAAGTACTAAATAGCAGAAACTGTCAAACTTCTGAGATGCACAGATGCAATATGTTTGGGATTCTGGTTTTTTGAACCAGAGATGCTTTTGACTCATCTTAAGATGAAAAGCGATTAAATAAGAGAAGATTGTGTTATACTAGCTTGCCTTTTGAAATAGTTTAACCAAACCACTTCTGGCCTTCTAAGGGTGTGACTCTCTCAAATGTATGTCTGATGTAAATGAAACGTGTGACTTCTCTTCCCCTGATTCACCTTCCTGGAGAAGTGAGGAATGCTAAGAGATTTCAGTTTCTTAAATCTCATGTCTTGCTTGCTTTGCCATAGTTCTGCCTTCACTAGACCATCTATGTTGTTGGAGATTCCTGGCTGACTTGATCTGTATTTGTCACAAACTTCATAGCGCTAAGCACGAATATTCCTGTTCTATTAGCATCTGCCAAATAGCTAAACAGCTAAGAGAGGCCCTTGGGCTTCCTATTCATACAGCTTATGAACTTTCTTTGGGATCCTTTGCAAATGAGAACTTTGCGGGTAACTCTTCTGGTTTTGACCGTTTGCAAGTATTCGTTATCAAGCTGTTTTCCTCCACCTGATTTTGAGGAATATACTGGTATTTATTTCAAATACATCCCTATTGGCATGTGATAGGTACCTGAAATGTAGAGGCAGGAGTTCCTGTCTGCTAAAACACCACCAATATGCAGCACAAAGGCTCAGAAGTCTGAGCTGCTACTTAAGAGGGAAAAGAGATTAGTCCTTTTGCTTCTTTGTACAACCAATTCAGGTCAAGGGAATCTGTGGGACTGGTACCTCTGCTGTTCGGTTATCTCTTCTGCCCTGATTGTTTTCTGCATAATGGATGAACTACAGCTCTATAAATTACTTCTAGAACACAGTAATAATTTTGTTCTGAAATGTCAGTTTGCCTCATAGCTGCTGGATTTTTAGCCCATGACCAAGTGCTGTTTGGTTCGTGAATCACCTTTAAATATCTTTCTTACGCTATTTTCTAAATAGTGTCTTTTAAGAATAATTCTACTCCTCTTAAGGCATTATCTCGCATCTCCTGCTTGTTTGAGTCCCAGCTCAGTGATTTTCATCTATCTGATGGATTAACTGTGTATAAAAGCAGACTGGGGTGTGGAGGGGTAACGACCAAAACCAACTCTCCACTCAATAAAAACCCCAAATACCTGTATTTCCCAAATCTATGGTATTTTGTATTTTATATGGACTTAGCAACTGTCTTTACCATAAAATCAGATTATATTCTAATACAGTATTTTGAGTTGGGATAGGATAAGCAGGACAGCAGCTTGGATGCTTTTAAGCTTTGCAAAGTTTGGCATTACATTAGTTCTCTAAACTGCCTATTTCTTTTTTTTTTTTTTTTTTTTTGCCAGCTCATGGATGAGTGACTTGACCCACTTTTTTGAGATGATGAGGAAGCAGCTTGTCTGGCCCTCTGCAAGTGTGCTTTACTGACTTAAAGTGTAGCAGTTACTGGAGGGAGGAAAAAAAACCAACAAGCCCCCTGTTTTTTTTAACAACCTTCTTCATACATATTTGCCTCTTTTTATTAAGCAGGTTTCGCACCTTTTATCTTTCTACGTGTTGGAAGAACTGTGTTCTCAAGCACCAGGTTGCTGCTTTTGGGGGCATAACAGGAGGGAAAAACACAAGCACTTGTGTGATCCTCTTTCTCCTTAAAATGAGAATTTGTCATGTGTTATAACGTTCTCTTTACTGATGTTAACTTTTCTGTAGAGTACATCAAGCCTGTACAGGTTCTCTCCTTGCGGCTGAGACAAAAACAACACTGAATAGTAAAGATAAGCCTTAAACCAGGGTATTTACGCACATGTAAGTCTCTCTGTCCTGTTAGTTCTTTTACAGGGTTCAGTGTATTAGAAACAGGCATTCACCCCCTCAGACGTCTTACTCTACTTCAGGAAGTCAGTCGCTAATACCGGTTTGTTGAATATGGTCCTGCAGTTTACTCTATGTAGATAATAAATGTGATAGTGACACTTCAAAATGGAGAAGAATGGGATCTCTGAACTGAGAAGGAATTTGTTGTCAGTGCTCTACTTAGAGCCATTGCTGATTTCCCTGTTAGATTCTCTCAAATGTTTTTAAAAGGACAGGTTTTATACATATTACTTACTCAAGACAACCTTACCTTCTGGTATAGAATAAATAGTGGTTTTTTCTGTTCTAAACAGACGGGTTTTAGCAGTGGTTGGCACTGCTGCCAAGCCCATCTCGTGAAATGTAAGTACTTTGCACTGGAAATACTGGAGTGGCATGTGCTGCAATAACTGAGACGCCTGTTCTGCAACGGGTACGGAAAGCAGCCTTCTGCTTAGGGCTTCCTTAACCCCATATAGTGAAACTCTGTGCCCTAGATTCCTACAGTGCTTTCCTACCCAAGACATGGATAATGCACGGTTGTGCTGAAGCTGTGCTCATCTAACTGCTCCAGTGGTTTCATGATGCTTCTGCATGTGGCAGCTTTGGGAGGTGGCCAGCGTTGTTGTAGGTTACAGATTTTCATTCATTGCCTCTGGCGGTCTCAAGCTTTCGCGATGTTTTTCGTTGTTGGGGACTTCTACCAGATATCAAAAAATTGAATGAAAAGTAGCAAACAGGTAGTGAATGCAACCAATTATCTTGGTCATTGTGCTAATTACAGACAGCTGCTATTTAGTGTTGAAGGATATTGTTTTACTCACCTGCATGAATTTTCATGCTTAGGATGATCTCCTGGTCACCCTAAGAGATGACCAGTGGATCAGTTCTTTTCTTTTAGAATTTTTTCTTTTAAATATTATAACTGTAAATTCCACATGATAAGGAAGTAAGTTAAACTGTCCCTTCCTGCAAATACAAAAGCATCTTCTGAAGTATGTGGAAATGAGTATTGTGTTTTTCCTGCTTCTCATGTAAATTGTTAACTGTCTTAGAGTGGAAACTGTCAATAACTACCTCCTGAGTTCAGCAATAATTGGCAAGGTATACTCTTCTCCAGTGGGTTAAGTATATTGGCTAAACACTATGGGTTCTTCAGAGTTTGATCTTTCGATTGGCAGATTTCTGAGACGATACCTGGAAACTGTGGTGATCAGCTTTGTGTTGCTGTAAGACTTTCCTTGCCTTCATAAGATGTGCTTCTTAAAATCCTGTTTCAGAGAAGTGGCTTTGAGCTGGTTAATACAGGCGCATTCTTCTAAGATGTAGGGATGTAGCCTCTCAGAGCTGCAGGGTTTTTTTTTACCATTAGAAGTGGGGAAGAAAGTTCTTTATCTAATACTCACACACCTATCAAAGGGACTGGAAATATAGAAACTGCTTTTGCAACATGATTAAAATTTTTGTTCACATGAAGGGCTAGCTAGTATTCTTCAGAAATCTGGATTGAAGTGACAAAAACCAAAGGTGGAGACAAAACGCTATACCCCACCCCCATTAAATATATTGGATGACTCCAGTCTGGGATAGGGTTAATTCTTGTGTTTTGTTGTTTTGAAGCATTTTTGTTTCATTGTTCTTTTAAGAATGTTTTCTGAAATGTTAAACAGCATTTTATTAATAAGCAATGTAAAAAAGCATGAGGAGCAGTCACATAGCTTTAGCTTCACAATAAAATATTGCTTTTGTCCTGTTCTTACTGGTTTTTTGTCTGTTGTCCAAAACTTAGAGCCTTTTCACTAAACCTGAAGCTTATTAAATTGCTGCTGGTTTAAAAAAAAAAAATCAGGTGTTGTACACCAGATGATGGAACAATAAAGATGTAAATACCTCATTTAGTTTCTAAAGGACATAGCTCAAGTTCTTAAAACGAATGTAAACAGAAGCGCTACTTCCTAAATAAATGTGCTGAACCCGAACGTGTGTGCTTATCCTGGTCTTGCTAAACCTCAGTGAAAGCCAGGAGGTTTCACATAACCAGTTCTGGTAGCCATGATGAAGTCCTGGAAAAAGCTATTTGGAGACAATTTACTTGGTACTAGAAAGGCACCTTTTCTTTTGCTGGGGGGGAGAGCGCTGCTATTATTTTTGAGGTAACAATCTAAATTTTTCAGTTATCCCCATCTCCTTACGGTTTGTAATTCTTTCTAGCCATTGTCTTGAGGCTGCATCTGGACTGCTAACAACTGCTGGGGCTTTCTGTTCTTACAGTTGCACCCTGAAGATAAGATTAAAAAAAAAATGTTGGATTAGAGTAATTTTAATATCTGGCAGCATGAGGAGTCTCTCAAAAAGCAGCCACGACCACTGCCTTCGACGTATCATTGTATCTAGCACTGTTAAAACAAGCAATCCAAATAAAAATCCATACAGCAATCGGGGAAAAACCACAATGTTTTGGACTGAAGTGTGAGAGGTATTACAGCTTCTGCCAGGCATTAATTCCTTGAGACAGAAAGACACCACTGTTGTCTGTGCAGGATATAATTATCCAGTCTCTCTCTCTGGTTTAAATGCTATTTGGAGGTAGATTCTGAACCAGTGAATTTATTTCAATTAGCAATTTTGGTTTCAGATACTCAAACAGACTTTTCTTCTTGTAGAGGAGATGCTC